GAATTTTTTATTACTCTGGTGTTATTTCAGTAGATAATAGAATAATTACAATGATCGACTTTGTAACATGTAGGCACAACGTGGATCAAATAAGTCACGTACTTATTGACTATAAGCACTACGTCTCAAAAAATTGAAAGAATGGCCTTTGTATTCGAATGTTGTAACCGATTTTTCTATGGCACTTATTGAGGCTGTTTTGAAAGGATTTAACACGATGGAAATTCCGACGTATTTGCAATATGCAATGAAATGGGCAACCAGTGACGTCTTTCCTATTAAAATTGTACAAGTGAAATTGTGTTGTTGTCATTTTGCTAAAATAGTAACCAGAGAGACGCTTAAACACACTAAATTTAAACCGGATTTTAGTAACCATTTTACATACGTTAAAAAAATACTCACATTTACGGTTATCTACATGTTGAACATCAAAAAATAACACCAAGCAAATAGTTAATTAATTCAAATATATAAATAAGTTGTGTGATATGCCAAATTCTGTACACAAAGATCAGCTTATAATTTATGCATAACCCGTGTTTTAGCATAAAGAAAATTGACCAGCTCACCTCACAATTAGTGATGTTGTTATTATGTGCCATGTATGCACGTGCACACTTGCACAGCTTATAATTTATGCAAAACCCATGTTATAGCACAAAGAAAATTGTCCAGCGAATTACTTTATAAAAAATATTGCATATGTACATACATATATACTCATTATGAAAATTACTCTATTAAATTAGAAATGGATGTTTTTATTTTTTGAACAGTTCATTTTTTACATTTAGTAGATTTTGATTAAAAATTTATGTATTATTTTATACTAATATATTATATCGTTATAGTAAGTATTATTATATCGTTATATTAACTGTCATTTATTTTTCAATAATTATCTTAATATGGTTTAGTTTAGAATTTCAAATAGAATTGAGTTTCTATAACTGTTAACTATCGTTATTGATTTAAAAAAATGCATTGTGTGTTCATTGTGTATGTTTTTATACAAATACAGCAGAAAAATAATAATTATTATCTAATATTTACACCATTCAAAATTTAATTTACTATTAAATAATAGAAATTAATAGGATTATCAAATACACACAACTACAGTATTATATATTTTTCTAGCATCGATATATAACTATATAATTATATATACATGTATATATGCATACCTGTTAGCTGCCACTTAAACAGCATATAACATATAACATAATATAGCATATAAGCTTATAATCAGAGGTGGACATGGGTCCATTTTTACTGACCCAACCCAACCCAACCCATCACTTAACTCAACCCATCCCAACCCAACCCGCCTGAAAATGCAACTTTTCAACCCAACCCGACCCGACCCAACCCACGACCCATCTGCACGAGTCGCAATTTTACCAAACAGGCAAATTTTTACAAATGATATTTAAAAAGCAGAACTCAAAAATACAAGATCATATGTGTAATAAAACACACTGGTGAAGTAATTACACTGCAAGTGTAATAAAATAACATGAAAATTAATTAAAAATTAAATGTTACTAATATTTTCCCACAACAACGTCAG